ATAATAATTATATTTGATTTTATTAAACAAGAATGACATTAGGCAATAGAATTGATAAAAATATTGGAAAAAATCTTAGAAATTCTTTTAATGAAATATTCTTGTAAAAATCGATATTTTTTATTCATTTATTTTCTAAAATTAATATAAGCAATCTTCACAATCATATTTCATCGAGAAATCTTTTCATTATCAAATAATAATACGGATTTCTTCTATATTAAATGATTGATTTTCTTCTATATTATTAAGAAACATACTATATTGTAAGTATATTATAAGAATATTATAATATATTTCTATATTATTATTAAGAAATACTTTATAAATATGTATATAAAATTTGAATATATTGCATTAATATTACATTAATTGTTAAAATTAAAAACATTAACAAACATAATTTGTGCTATCATTTTATGTACAGAATATAATATAGTTTTTAATTTAAAAATTCGATTCGTTGATGCAAATTTATTTAAGTATATAAGATCAAATAAATAACAGCACGATTTGTCTTTAATATTGTATAATTTTTTTCTAAAAAAATTTTTTATATTTTATGTATTTTTTTTAAGAAGATTAAGATGAATATATCTTATATAACTATTATTTGATTTCCAAAATATATACTTTTTTAAAAAATATTTTTAATATTTCGTACTTTCAAATTCAATAAATTTTTGAAGCTCGATAAATCTAAATCTAAATTCTATGGAAATTCATATAAACTATCTACAAATATATAATTATATATAAATATATAATTAAAAAAAAAATTTAAAAAAAAGTAAGTAAAAGTATTTTAAATAAGTTTCTTATTTTTTTTCTTCCTTTTCTCCTTATATTTTTCATTATTTTTCTATAGTGTTATTGTTGTTTCTATTTTTTGTGTTTGTAAATAAGATACTAGTTTTTCGTTACATTTTTGGATCTTTTTCATTTTATTAATCAGATGTTAAATCAACAGAAGTGAGTAATTTTATTTTCTTTCATTCACAGTAAACTGAAAAGAGATTCGGGTCCACACTTTGAAAACAGTATATCAGACACAGATAGACTACTTTTGCAGAAAGACGAGGAGGTAAGAAAGTAATAAAGAATTATGAATAATCGATATTACGTGCTTCTTAATTATGCATAACTTCATTTAACATAACATTTGAAAGAATTTTAAATAGCATGCATATGTTATTTTATATTATATCCTAAAACAATATTATTAAATATAAAATAAAAAATGATTTCATGGAATTATTTTTGTTTGCTATTTTTACAAAAATCATCAATTTGATTTTACAATTAAACAAAAATATGTATTCATATAAACATATTTTTTAACTAAATATTTATATGGTTATTTATTTCAATTAATTTCAATAAAAATATTGTAAAACTTCATTTATTAATAAAATTAATAAAATTAATAAAATTTATTTATTAATAAAATTTCAATAAATAAATAAAATATATATTTTTAAAAAATTCTTATTTATTATTTGAAAAAAAGAATTATAATATCTATATTTGTTTTTAAATTGTTAAAAAAATAGCAAAAATATATATTTAAATAAACATTTGCACAATCATAATTTTATTAAATCTTATGGAAAGGCAAAAATTTTTTCAAACACTATATGAAATTTTAGAATTTAATATAAATACTTTAACATAATTAAATATATTAATAATTAAACATAACAGTGAAAATATAATAATTTTAGAATTCCTCTAATTAAGAATTTGAAGAAAAGAAAAAAAAGAATTTTAAAAATAGTTACAACAAAAATTGTCAAAAAATTTAAAAATAATTTCAATATGGTAATTTATAAACAAAACAATAAAATTTTGAAACATTATAATAATGAAGTATTTCAAATTTATTTTGAAATCTACATAAATTACATCATTTCAAAACTTCATTGTTCATTTTATAAATTATATATTTTATAAATTACAATTTTTTTCTTCTTATTTATATTTATATTATAATATTTCTATAATATTTCTTACATATTTTATGATATATAAAATATTCATAATATATAAAATTTATTTAAAAATTGATGTATTAATAACTGTGGATTTATCAATATCTAAATTATTTTTAAACTTTTTATAATTGTTTTTAAATTATTCTTATTTAATATTTTATAATTTTTTATAATTTTTTTATTTCATGCATTATTTTGTAAAGTAATTCATAATTATAAATAATTTTATATATTCTTCGTTTTTTTATAATGATTTAATGATTTTCGCAATTTCTTTTTATAAATTATTCTATAAATTATAGATTTCTAAAAATATGTATTTGTTATTATA